ATCGTCATTAATAAAGTCCTACATCAAGATGAAGATAGTATATTGGGATGTTCCTTGAATTGGCATTTACATTATATTATAATATTGATCTAAATATTGTGTCATTTAAAGAGAATTCCTAATTCAGTGTGTATTATTTGCTATATGAACGTTATATGATGAAATAAATATATATTTACACATGCTAAAAGTCTTGGCATTTGTATTTCTTTGTGGAGGCAACCATCTAAGTCACACTTAGAGGTATAAGTAAAATATCTTTCTTGATTCATTGAACAGCACTAAATAATATTTGAGGCAATACAAAATATTGCGTAATAGGCTTCTTTTAGCATGTGTGGTGGGTGAAATTGAAGGTACCTTAAATGCTATTGTAGATGTACGCTGGTTTGTTAATGAAATACGGTGTCTGGCTGTATGGGTACCACATCCCAGGTCATATTCAGATGCAGAAGTAAGAAGGCAAATCAAACTTTTGAGGTACCCTTGGAGTCAGAGATAAACAATCTATAAACAGTGGCATTCCACAATAAAATTAACATATATACAGATATATCAACTAGCCCAAAACGTCTCAAAATCCATAGAAACATACCGCCCTTGTGGTTTTCTTCAGCCTTATAGGTGGCTTAGTTCCATTTTAAATACATATAGTTTCAGTCCATTAGGATTAGGTGAGAAGTATGTAGTCCTATACGCACTCAACATGTTTTCTACATGTACCTCTCACCTGATAGTGGTGTCTATATTTTATTGCTCCATTGTGTTCAAATATTTTCAGCCAATCTCTAACTATAATCTTGCTGGTGACAAAGATACACCTTTCTTTTACATGGTGACAAATGATTGTTCCTCTCTTTAATCCTCTAATATATGGTCTGGGGGACCAGGATATCATAAATCATACATTTACAGGTTTCTTCACTAAAGGGTGAGGAGTTTGGAGAAGGCCGGAGAAGGGAACAATCTAGGACAACATAGCTGAGCTGGAAAGTGAGCTGAATTGGAGAATTTTGTCAAAATCAGCTCTGTTGTCCTAGATTGTTCACTTCTCCCGCCTTCTCCAAATTCTTCACCCTTCTGTGCATAACCCTGTTAGTGTTTCAAAAATGTTTAAGAAAGATTGTCTTCATCGCAAGCTTATCACTCATTCCTAGAGAAACATAGTGGAAACCTGTTTACTTTAAAATACATTGACATTTTTTTATTTTTTTTGTTAGAAATGTAGAGTTTTTTATTTGTTCTTTAAAATGTTCTTTATAGTTGCCTGTAGATGGACTCTGCTCTCTGTCAATGTGGGGTGATCTATGTAGTGAAATCTACAGCTCTGCCAATAGGAGAACTGCAACTAGACAGCAAGGAAACAGCTGCATCACTAGTCTACTTTGAATGGAGCTTCTCTTCTAGACCTAAAAAGTGTAGCACCAGCCTGTACCTCTGGCATTCTGATGGACATAAGTATGGCGGATGTCATCTCCGCACACCTGGCCCTGCCCAAGTGGAGAGTCTAAAATAAACAAGAACACCTTCCACCTTTGCTTCTGCTGGAGGCAATGCTCTCATATCACGTCATATAATGCTACACTGTAAAAGTAAATGGACTGTCCCCTTATGAGGCTAAAACATAATAAGTCCAGATAAAAGTGCAACTGGACAAATCAGGACAATGCTCCGGAATTGGCTCTTTACTTTCATTCACTAGAAACATAGGGGTCTATTCACTAAGCTGCCGTGGGCAGCCGAGTGATTGACCGACCTAAAGCGAAGTGAGTCGAACGCTGTTCGGCAATTCACTTCAGGCTAGTACGGCTGATTTCAGTCGTATACCGGCTGAAATCAGCCGTACATTGGGTGGCTTCACGTGGCTGAGCATGTTCGGCTGACCCGAAGTGCAAGAGGAGTTCGACTCAGCCGATCCAACATCTGGATCGGCTAAGCCGAACCTCCAGCAGGCTACTCGCTGCTGTTCGGTCTATTCTTATAGATGCCAAACATCAGTGAGTGAATTGCCGAATGCCGCTGGCTCGGCTCGGCTGTTCTGCTCGGTCCCTCAGGGGGACCGAGCAGAACAGAAACATTGTTGAAAAAGTACAAAAAAATAAATAAAAAACGATTGTGCGGAGCTAGCAATTACAGCTAGCTCCGTCCAACCGTTTTCTATTGGCCGGCGGTTCTGCTGCCATTAAAAATGTTCAATTTGCAAAAGCCAATAGTAAACTGGCATTGCACCCGCCCTCTGCTGATGGACCTGATGGAGAACTGCAGCAGAGGGCGGGATTTCCTTTTTTTCTCAAATTTTTTCTTTCAATTTTTTTCCATTTTTGCCAATTTTTCTACATTTCATAATTTTATTGCAAATTCCTTTTACTATCAAAACTTTCCATTAAGAAAAAAATTAAGAGAATGATTTATCGATAAGTAGGTCAAACGTGTATGCCAGCGGGATATAATTTACTTCCAATAAAGTTTCATTTTCTGTAGATAATAATTTTGTTGATGATCCATGAGCTAGATAAATCTCAAAGGAATACAGAGCCAACATGCACACCTGTGAGCTCCGGAGACGCCAGGGGGAATTTATGCATTATAAATAAATGTATGTGTGGCTAATAAAACTGTATGATAACACGAAATGTCACACAGATTTTCTGTTATATTAATATATTTGTTAGCCGAATACCTCCATGTCAGATATGCTGTCACAGAGCTGATCCTTCCAGAGGAGACTTTCCTCATCTCTCTTCCCTCTTCCAGGATTTAACTCTGCTGGGGTAACAAAGAAAAAACCTGGGAAGAGACTGGAAGAAGGAAAAATCATAATTTCACCAATCTGACTATTCATAGGTCTTTATCTTCTCTCTTGTTTTTTTCTTATATCTTCCAGAAATTATTAGTATTAATAAAACACATCTAATCTCGAGGCGGCCCAACCAAGTACTGATGGGGTGGTCATAATAATCTGGCCACTCAGTGTATATATACAGTGTGTATAAGGGTTGAATTAAAGTTATATATTTTTCTTTCTTAGAGTAAAGCTCTTTCATAATAAACATTAACTAGCTGAGCACATCAGTTTATATTATATCATTTTAAAATTCAGGTAACATGCTTTTTTTGTTATTTCTTGGCAGGTGGACTTTCTAAAGCCCAAGATGATACTCACTTTCCAAGGTTTAATGTTCACTGAGCTTAGTAAGTAAGGTGCTCTTGTCTTGGATATTTAAATTAAATACAGGTTCTCTAGGTTGTTTACTTAAAGTGTATGTAAACTCTAACAATAAACTTATCTTATTTGCCCCCTTTTGGTATGTTAAATATACCAATGAAAGCGCTTTGTTGTATCTGTTTCATAAGTGCAAAAAAATGGTAACCCTATCAGAAATCCATTGAGCGTGTGAGGTGCTGTGTGGTCCTCAATGAAATCTTAAGCAGTGTTATTATCTTTGGCCAGTTAAAGGACCTCTTCGTGATATGGAGATGAGGTGTTCTGTAGCTTTAATATACAGTAAACTCTCTATTATCCAGAATTCAACTAACCAGAACTCTCATATAACCTTTGTTACTGTGTCCTCCCTGTTCTGCTGATCTGTAGCATGTATTATCCTGGAAACGATTGTGTGCCTATTTGTCCTAATTTGTTTTACGTGTCTATTGGTCTTGATTTGCTTTTGATTACTGCATTTCAATATTAATATAAAGTCAATACAGAGTGTATGTTATAGTATGGGGTATGGCATTAGTTAGACCTATTTTTAATAGTAAAACAGTAGAAAGGCATCATGGCACACTCACAAACCAGCATGTAAAACAACTTGTCTCACCACTAAGGATAGTAACAGAGGTTTGGATACACGTCTTCTGCAGAAAATGTGAAAGCCGCACAGCCGCGCCAAGGCACCTCTTATAGTGCGGTCCTAACTCTCAACTATGAGAGTCTCCATCTTGGAGCACATGGGGGCAGAAGATTTCAAATTGGGTGCAGGTTTGTCAGGAGGAAGCCCAGCCTCCTTAAAGGCACAGAAACACACAAGGGATCCCGCACATCACAATGGCAGCTGAGAACCCCCATGCGTCGCTGCACCAAATCGGTCAAGCAAAACAAATGACAAACACACTCAACAATTTGTCACCAGTTATACAGTAAGGTGCACACGAAATGGGCTTTGAACACATTGAGCACATTGAGCCCATTTCGTGTGCACCTTACTGTATAACTGGTGACAAATTGTTGAGTGCGTTTGTCATTTGTTTTGCTTGACCGATTTTTAATAGTAACTCTCAAGCAACCAGAAACTACATTTATCAGAAATCTACCAATCCCTGTTGATGCTGGAAAGTGTGGAGTTTACTGTACCTCCTATGCTGGGGTGCCAACACTGCTCTTCCATAGATACAGTATAGTGAGTGAGCGTTGTCACCCGAAGACAGGCAGTATGTTAGGGTAAGGACCAGTAAACTGCAATAATAATTTTCATATATAGCAATTCTGGAACTTTACACAAAATGTTTGGTAACTAATGTGAGGTCCTGCCATGTAGGTTGGGCTTTCTGGATTACTGATTCTTTAGGATTAAAAACCTTTCCTTGTATTTGTTACACAGCTGAACTAACATTCAGATCCATACATCTTGCTGTAAGTTCAGAGTTTCATTTCACATTGCTCATGCTTGCAAAAAAAAAAGTCTCATATTTCCAGTAACAATTTTGAGTCCAAATATTCTGGTGGGAAACTTCAATATCTTCTTCAAGTTCTTCTTGTGAGTTTCAGCAAAGAGGTGCAAAGACGTGCTGGAAGGTTAATTGGCTCCTGTCTAAATTGGCCTTGTATGTATGCATGTGAGATAGGGATCTTAGATTGTAAGCTCCTTGAGGGCAGGGGCTGATGTGAATGTGCACTGTGTAAGGTGCTGTGTAAAATTGTTGGCTCTCTATAAATACCTATAAATAACAAATACCAATGTATACTTTTTTTCCTTTAAAAAGTCAGTAAAATTGTTGCAATGAGGAATCAGACAATGTTGAATGAATTCTTCCTCACCGGACTGTCTGACCTTCCAGATCTTCAGCTCCCTCTCTTCCTCTTCTTCCTGCTCATCTACCTTCTGACGTTAATCTGGAATCTGTTGATTATCACCCTCATAGTCATCGACTCTCACCTCCACACCCCTATGTATTTCTTCCTCGGGAACCTGGCTGGTCTGGACCTCTGTTGTTCCTCGGTTACCGTCCCACGAATGCTATTTGACCTTCTCAAGAAAAGCAAGATTAGCAAAATGGCGTGTATAACCCAAGTCTTCTTCTTTATATTCTTTGCCATCTCTGAGGTTTTTTTGTTGGCCGTCATGTCCTATGATCGTTATACCGCTGTATGTCAGCCATTGCATTACATACGGATCATGCATTGGAAGGTGTGCGTACAGATGATTTCCAGCGTGTGGTTTCTTGGCTTTACCTATTCTTTAGTTCATACACTCTATGCCTTCAAATTAACATTTTGTAGGTCAGATATTATAGAAAGTTTCTTCTGTGACCTGCCCCAGTTGTTTCAGATCTCCTGTAGTGACATCTTCATCAATGTTCTACTCATCTTTATCTTGGGTGGCTTCCTTGGAGTCGGTTCTCTAATACTGACCTTCCTGCCCTATGTCTCTATATTCAAAGCTGTTCTTAAAATGCAAGTTAAGGGCAAAAGAGGTAAAGTTTTCTCTACATGTACCTCTCACCTGACAGTGGTCTTCATATTTTATTGCTCTGTTATGTTTAATTATTTTCAGCCAAGTTCTAGTCATAATTTTCATAGTGACAAAGGGGTGGCCATCTTTTACACAGTGATCCTTCCTCTCCTCAATCCCCTTATATACAGCCTGAGGAACCAGGATTTCAAAACAGCACTTCAAAGTGTTTTATGGAAAATATTTCCACCAAAATAGAGATATAGAAAGATACAAAAGTGCCATTTTATGACCTGTGGGAAAACCTATTGTTAAAGCTCTTAATGTGTACATCTAATCAGAACCTTTTTAGTTTTGGATAATGTAGGGATTTGTTTAAACTTATATAAAATTAAAAACAAAATTCCTGTGTTCTTTTTTTTTTTTGAGCATGTAATTTTTATTGAATTTACAATGAATACAGAACTAAAGCGTACAACAATGAAGTAAGAGGGTGCCATATCATAGTAATGGAGATACATACACAGCGTGGAGTAATTATTCCGTTTTGTAAATAGATGCAGAACATTTGATAAAACATGAGTCAGTATGATTAGAGTATTTTACATCTCTTTCCCGTGTATGTAGTGATACTATTAAGCGTAGGATTCCAGGCCACCTCTCAAGAACAGAATAAAACATAAAGAAATGAAGGTAAGGTCACTACCTGGAGTACAAAAAAGCATGAGAAGCAATATTGCCAGTACCTGCTGTGACGGACCCCCGTACTCAGGATGAGTATGTCCGCCGCTGTCTTCTTCCTTGCTCAGGAGATATTGCAACCTGAAGATCCTTAGCTCCCAGTTTCCCCAGTCACTAGTCGAGGCTCGAGTGTAGGTGAAACAAACTCTGATTTATTGAGCAACTGCACAAACTTTTATACAGCAAGTGATGAGATCAGAATATAATCCCATCAATCCCAAGACAATCGGTCTGCTCAACACCACAGGGCTTCCCCTGCTTACGAGCTCCAGACAGCCATAGCAGGAGCCTGGCCAGAATGTCATTGTTCTGAGCTCCCTCAGAGAACAATGGGAGATAATGAGGGATGGTGCTGATAGTCTTTCCATAACCAGGTTACTCAGTATAACGCACTCAAACATAACTCAACACCAATACACATTTAACTCATAAAACTGATCAACGTGTCGTCACACCTGCATCAGCAGGCTTTCCATATATTCGGAGTATACCAATTTAAATTTCATGTGGGACTAATCAAATGTCAAGGGGTGTTTTGCAGTCATGTATGTATAGATAGAAACCCAAAAATCAAACAAGTATTTGAGAGGGCACCAAGGGTAAGTATCACACTAACGGTGACCCAGAGACCCTTCCTTTCTATCGTGGGGGCTGTTGGTAGGAGCCATTTAGTGAGAATGTTTTTTTAGAGGCTAATATGCAAAGATGTTCCCAGCGCGAGAGTGGAGGGGCAGGGGAAGGAGGCCCAGGGGGTATGTCGTGTAGTAAGCACAGTATAGGTTGTGGGGCCCGTGCCTTACCTGACAGGGAGTTCATGTACTGTATTATCCGAGTCCATAGTGATTGTATCAGGGGGCAGGACCAGATCAAATGTATGAAGTCGGGATGGTGTATGTTACATTTGGGGCAATGTTGTAGCCAGTCCGGCGATGCAGAAGCCGGAGCATAGTTAAAGGCATAGTATGCCCGGTGGAGCAATTTAAATTGGATCTCCTGCCAAGATTCACTGATGATGTGGGTTCTAATGTGTTGCCACCCCCGCAATATGCTTTCAAAAGTATCTTCCCATAGTTGTACAAATGCCCATAGTTGTACAAATGCGGGGATGTGGTTGTCAGGTTGTTGGTGAATGTCGCGGAGAGCCAGATATAAATTGGACAAGGATAGTTTGGGCGGCGAGGAAGTCAACAGTCTTGTGAAGGTTTAAGACGTATCCTTCACCTGTACCCTGTGAGAGTGTATGAAGCGTGAGAGTTGTGCGTATTGGAGGAAATGTGTGGGGGAGTACATGGAACTTGGAGATTATGTCGTTGAATTTTAAGCAGGAGTTTTGGGGTGTCAGTACGTCCTGAATTGTATGAATACCCCGGGCATTCCAGGTGCGGAAGTTTAGGGATTCAGCTCCTGCCGGAAAAAACGGGGATGTCGATAGAGGCATCCATGGGGAGATAGTGCCCGGTAGCTTTGTCAGCTTCCTGACTTCCCTCCATGTTATGACAGTATCTTTGATGAGCACATGTGATCTAACATGCACGGGTAGGGTGTGCAGGGGTGAGTTAAGGATGCCTGCGAGAGACCATGGGTGGGCCAGTTGTTGTTCCAGCAGAGTATTGGAGTAAAAAGAAGTATCCAGTATTCAGTCCCTTATGTGCCTGAAGATACTGGCTAAGTTGTAAAGCCGGATATCCGGGACATTCATACCTAAGTGGGATTTTGGGCGTTGCATTTTGGCTAGAGCAATTTGTGGCTTTTTACCCCCCCCCACCCCTTGAGTGCCGGAGTAAGATAGGAAGGGTTTGTAGATGGTATAAGAGACGGGCAAAGCTGACCATGCGTATCAGCTGGCATCTTCAGGTCATGGATACCGGAAGGTGTTGCCAGGAAGAAAGTTCCTGTACTATATTATTAATGACTGGGTTAAAATTTAAGGTATAGAGATCCGATGTGTTGCGGGGAATTCGGATGCCCAGATAGGAGATCGCGTTTTTCCTGAGTTGAAGTTTGTGGGAAGAGATGACAGATAACAGTGTTGGGGGACATTTATTAGTGAGGGGCAATATTTCACTCTAGATTTATTTTAAAGTGACATTAAACCCTCAGATTTTTTAACATAAAACAATACTGTAATGTGCGACTTACTGTAATCCATGGTTGTTTCCCTTCTCTTTGCTGCTCTTCCTTTTAAATCCTCATGTCTTCTCATGCTTGGGGAGAACTTCCCTTTTCAGCTCAGGGCCTCATCCTGTAGTGCTGGCTCAGGTTACAAGCCTATACAAACCGATACACAGACACCATGTAGCCATTCCAGAGTCAAGGCAGTCTGCTGCAAAACAGAAGTTCTGCCCAGCATGAGAACAGATACAGATTTCTCTTCCTTTTAAATCTGTATCTGTTCTCATGCTGGGCAGAACTTCTGTTTTGCAGCAGACTGCCTTGACTCTGGAATGGCTACATGGTGTCTGTGTATCGGTTTGTATAGGCTTGTAACCTGAGCCAGCACTACAGGATGAGGCCCTGAGCTGAAAAGGGAAGTTCTCACCAAGCATGAGAAGACATGAGGATTTAAAAGGAAGAGCAGCAAAGAGAAGGGAAACAACCATGGATTACAGTAAGGCACACATTACAGTATTGGTTTATGTTAAAAAATCTGAGGGTTTAATGTCACTTTAAGGCCAGAGAAGGTACCAAAGAGGGATATGTGACTTAATATAATGGGAATCTGTATCTCTGGATCCGAGAGTATCAGCATGATGTCATCCGCGAAGAGCATGGATGTAATCTCTATCGCTGCTCTCCGGTATCCGGAGAATAATGTGGTGTTTTCAAGGGAGAGAGCTCAGCTCCACAGCTATATTAAACAATAAGGGGGATAGTGGACAACCTTGTCTCGTGCCTCTGTGTAGCCTAAATGAGGGTGAAAGTGATGTGGAGGTGAAGATCCTCGCCTCAGGAGAGGAGTAGAGGGTGTTGATATAGTGGAGGAAGATATCAGTAAATCCCATCTTAATCAATACTTTTCTAAGCCATTCCCAGCTAATGCTGTCAAACACCTTCTCGGCATCCAAAGCTAACAGTGCCATTTGGGCGCGAGGAGGCGTCCGACAAGCGATAACCATCTACAGCATATAACACTTTTCGAATATTCATACCTGCAGATCTACCTGTAATGAAAACCCGGCTGATTAGCAGAAATCATATTAGGCAGTGCCAGAGAGAGACGTTTAGCCATAATTTTCGATAAGAATTTAGCGTCCAATGAGATGGGGCGGTAGGATCCTGGCAGTAGTGGGTCTTTGCCCTTTTTGGGCAGGAGGCGGATGAAGGCTTTGTTAAATATTGGTGGGTAATTACGGTCACGTAGAATGTGTTGGAACAGGCTAAGCAGAGGCGGAGACATATCCTCCAGCAGGATCTTATAAAATTCAGACGAAAGGCCATCCGGGCCTGGCGCTTTGGAACATGGGGCTGAGCGTATAACTTCTTCTATTTCAAGCTGAGTAATCTCTGAGTTTAAGATAAGAGTGTCTTCAGCAGACAGGGAGGGCAATTTTAGGGAGTCTAGGAACGAAGATCCATCTCCGGTGTCGGGATGTTCGTTACTGTAAAGTGTCTTATAGTAATTGCAGAATAAATCGGAGATGGTTTCTGGGTCGGTGTGTATTTTGCCCGCACTGTCTGCTAGTTTAAGTGTGTGGGAAGTAGGTGTGCACCTCTCACCAAATTGGCCATAAGCTTACCCGATTTGTTTCCGAATCTGAATAGTTCTACCATCTTATAAGATCGAATGATTTGATCGTACTGGAGGAGCCAGTGATCACATCTCTGCTTAGCCTGTATCCACCTGGTCCTATCCGGATCAGATAGGGATCGCTTATATGCCACATAAGCTTCCCTAGCTTCGGAGCAAGAGATAATATAATGCTGGCGTGTATTCTTCTTGCGGGAAGAAACATACGCCAGGATCCTACCGCGCAATACGGCTTTGGCTGCTTCCCAAAACAGAATGGGGTTATCTAGGTGGATAGAATTATGGCCCACATATTCTAGCCACCAGAGTTTGAGATCAGCTCGGAAGGAATCATCTTTGTACAGGTAAGTGGGGAACCTCCATGTGACAGGAGATCTCGGAATAGAAAGGTCCTGCAGTGATAGGAGTACCGGGGAGTGGTCTGAAAGAACCATGTCTTTGATGCGGACGTCATTGGTCCTGCCCATAAGCGTTGGTGATAGAAGAAAAACATCGTTCCGTGTGCGTGTGAGAAATGGGTGTAGTCCCTTTCAAGCGGGTGGAGGAACCTCCAGGCATCTATCATCCCGCTCGCAGAGATCATAGAAGAGAGGTTTTTGTCCTGAGGGGAAGTGGAGATGCGGGGTGCTCTGTGACCATCGGATCGATCCTCTGGAGGAGAAGGGACCGCATTGAAATCTCCCCCAATTATGCGGTGGGTGTGTAGTGCAGATTGGGTGGTTTGTGACAATAGGGTATTAAAAAATAGTTTGTTGTCTGAGTCAGGCCC